AAGTTGGTCTTCCTTAATGCATTTTTTATTTTTCTTGTAACTATAGAACAAAAAAGTCCATAATCAAGGCCCACAAATCTCCTCTAGCTTCACAAATACCGTGGGCTGCACAAACACTGCCGTTTCCTCCGTGAGCCATGGTGTGGGAAAGGACTTGTTTTGTGGGTCCTTCTTCTATCTTTGTGAGACAAGGAAGCAAGAGGACATTACTGTCTCAAGCACAAAAAGGGGAGTCCCCAGCCACACAACTGGCGAAGCCCTCTCCAGGTGTTCCGTTTCATGCTCTAGAGAGGTGAGTGGCTGAGGTTTGGAAAAGGGGAGATGAGTGTCTGCCGGAGCTCAGCCGTCTGTGGGCACTGACCATGAGCCTGGTCCACATAAGCAGCCACGAGGGGCCACAGTACGAGGCAGAGGGGTGTCTGTGAGTGGCGGTGGAAAGACAGGAAGACAAGGCGGCCAGGTGTCCAGGCTCCAGGGTAAGGTGACTTTGGACAAGCAGACTCAGAGGAGTCCCAGTCCCTGAAGGGCCTCTGGCATCTCGCTGCCCTCTCCCCTCTGGGCACAGAGAGAATTCTCAGAGAACGACCAGAGCCATAGAGCCACGAGGCCACCAACCCCACAGAGCTCAACCTGGCCTTATGTCCACACAATCAACATGGGGACGAGACAGAGGCTCCAGCAGCAGCTGCGATGGCTACGCCTGGGCAGAGATGCAGTAGCGGCTGCAGCCACGGCTGGTTTTGCACACCGGGCACCTCGTGTGCACGGGAGGTGGCAGAGGCAGTTAAACAGAGGGGCTGAGTGCCTGGAGAGATTCCACCTGGGCTCAAGGCATGACTTTATCACTTACCCAATTGCTCTGTGCCTCAGTTTCCCCATCAATAACATGGAGATGAGAATGACCACATACAGTTGGGAGGATGGAAGGAGTTAATATCTAGAAAATGTTCACACAAGTCGGCACAAAGTTCGCTCTGTGATGTGTTTCTGTTGTTGCATTATCCTCTCCTTTCCAAAACCCCCTGCTGCCCTTACACCACATCAGACAACTCAGGCTCGTACACGTGGCAGACCAGGCACCCAACCACTTGACTTCCGGGTGTATGGGTAGTCCCGACCATTAGAGTTCTTCAAGTTTGGGGATCTTACTGTTCTATTGCCCTGGCTACTAAGAACCTCACAGAAACTCCAGAACCGCTGGAGGGAGACCCAAAGGTTTGAGTGTACTGGTCCATGCAATCCCTGCCATCACCAGCAGGGGGCGATCAGCACCACGCTTTGCATGGCATCGAGCACCAGCCCTGGGGACAATGAGCTGCTTCCTGTTGCGGGGAAGCAGCCCCAGTTCTGCAGCCACAGGTGTGCCTGCGTGCACTGCTGCCTCCCAAGCTCTCAGGTTTTCCTAGTTTCCATCCGCCCCGCTCCCTGGAGGTGGAGCCTCATGCCGTACATCACCCAGCCTCAGTTTCCCTCACTTCTCAGAAAGATAGGTGTCGTCACCTCCGGCCCTGAGGCCTTCCCCGGCCTGTGTCCCAAACTATACCGAACCTTCAGATCTTTGGCCCAATGTAGCTTCCTCCAGTTCTTGCACCAACAAGGGGTTTCCAAGTCCAGGCTGAGGCCTTCCTCACACTGCCCCCCAAACAAAACAGCAGAAATGAAAGACCAAAAAAAAAAAAAAAATACCTTTATTGTTGGATTAATGAACTGGTTTGAAGGGGACAAGGGCAGGTGGGGGAATAACCAGCCTTGATTAGTCGGAAACTCCTGTTATCTGTACAAAAGATGAATGTTACAAAAATCACATAAAAAACCAGGGTCAGCAAAGCAGCAGCGCTTGTGGAAGAGGACTCAAGGCACCTGGAGGCTGAGTTTTCCAATCTGGACCCGGGCGTGGCTGAGGGGTGGGGGTGGGGCCCAGGCTGCAGCCCGCCCCTCCCGCCCCTGCCGCCCGGGGCGCACACTCTCTCCTCTCTCCACTTACAAGTCTCTACAAACCGCCCTCGCAGGGGCATAAGGACCACCGGCCAAGGCACTGGCAGAAACGAAATGGGCCCCAAGCTGGGCTGAGCCCTGAGCTCCCCATTGCCCCTGGGCCCAGGCCTGGAGAAGGGGCGCCTTTGTTCCCCAGGCTGCAGGGAAGCCTCCTGGGGGAGGTGGTGGCGGAGGGACACCACGGGCAGGCACACACAGCCCGGGCTTCAGTCAGTGCCGAGTGTGGCAGAGGGGCCGCAGTCCTGTCCACCCCACAGTGTGGACTCAGAGGTGCTTTCCGGCACGGTCCTGGTGGAGCCGCCGTCCCAGGGCTCCCTAATCGGGATAGCACAGGCAGCATCCCGTGCCTGCCGCCTCCACGCTGGCCTTGGCGCCAGGGCCCAGGAGCCCGTCGGTGACAGAGTGCTCAGTGATGATGTCCTCCACCCGGGTGATGTACAGCAGTGTCAGCAGCACCCCCAGGAACTGGGAAGGAGGGACAGAGCCGATGAGAGCCTGCTGGGCATCAGGGCAGCCCTCCCTGGCAGTTCCTGGCTCCCAGAAACCCTGCAGCCAGTCACAAGCCCTCATGGCACTGGGTGGCCCAGGAAACCCCCACGGCGGAGACTTCCCCCAGCATCCCCACTGCCCAAGCAGCCCCCACTCTGTCCTCCCAGGAAATCCCAGAGATCTCCTTGTGTCCCCCACCCTGTCAGTCTAGGATTTCTGCCTCTACCCCAGCTCTGCCACGCACTATCTAGGGGACCTTGGGCAAGTCAAGCAGCCTCGCTGATCCTCGGTTTCCTCCCCGTGAAACGGGCATGACAGTCATACCCGCCTCCCAGAGCATGAAGGAGACAGTGCCAGGTAAGCACTTGGCAGAGCTTAACCACCAATGCTACTGCCATTCCCCCTCTCCCTCCAGCCCTGCAGCCCTCCCAGGGCGAGCCCAGACTGTGCCCCTGCACCTCTGTGCCCTTCCCTGTGATCGCCAAGCCACACCTTGTCGGAACCCACAGCCTGCCCACCTGGGGGAGCAGGATGCCCAGCAGGACGCCGGCCATGATGGTGTAGTTGTCCATGAACCAGATGAGCACGGCGTTGGTGCAGCCCCGCACGTAGATGACGTTCTGCACGCTCAGGCGCTGCAGGGGAGGAGCCGGTCAGCCCAGCCGAGCAGCTCGCCCTGCTGGAGCCTGTGTCCGACCCTGCCACTCACTCGAGGTCTGAGCCAGCCCCTCAACCACTCTGGGCCTCAGTTTCCCGTACGCAGCATGGGGAGGTAGCCCTAGACCACTGGTTCTCGCCAGGCAGTACTGCTCCCTAGAGAGCACTGGGGACACTGTGGTGGCACTTCTGGTTGTCCCAACGACTGGGGTTGAGGGCTGAGGGACTGCAGAGCTCAGGGCAATCCAGTCCCACAAGCTGTCCCGCCTGCGTGCCTCTCAGATGTCCCCCAGGCATTGGTGTGAGTGAAAAACCTGTCTACAGTCACCTGAGCAGGAAGCGTCATTTCAGGTACTTAGGAAAAACAAAGAATTTTCTGCACTGGTTACAATGAATTTCCCAGAACTACTATTATGTAAATTAAGGCATAATTAAACTTTATTTAATTCAGAACTCTATCAAGAATTGTTCACCATTTTAAGACTCCACGCCAACAGCAAAAACGATGCCCACGGTAGGCGAGTTGCCAGCACAAACCCTGCACCTGCTGCCCCGCGGTCACCCCTATCTCGAGGATCCCCCACCTCGGTGCAAACGCCCAACCCCCTCACTGTGTCTCCTGCTGTACTTAACCGCTGCCCGGGCGTTCACGTGTTGAAATGTGTTACAGAGCTGTAAACTGCTTTATTTCTCTTTCATGTCAGATCACTGTGTTGATTGTTTTGAAATTAGGAGTGTAGGTAGGTGGTGTTATCTATGAATTTCATTTGGGGATAGTAAGTAGGGCATTACCAAGCGTTTGTGATAAAAAATGGCTATTGGGTCACACAAGCTGAGAACCACGGCTGGTCTGTAGCTCTCATACTCTGGCATGTGTCAGAATGACCCGCCCCAAGAATTTGCATTTCTAACAAGTCCCCCGGGGATGCTGTCGCTGTGGTCCAGGGACCCCACCTTGAAAACCACTGCTCTGAAGCATCTCAGGTCACCGTTACCTTCAGCTCCCCTCCCGGCACCACCCCCACCTCTCTCCCAGTCCAGGGGAGTTGCCCAGGAAGCTGACCCAGGGGGACGCCCAGAGGGCTTGCTGAACCCCAGGGACTCCTAGCTCCCAGGCAGAGGGAACCAGCGTGAGCCATCTGCAAACTGGTGGCCCCGGGGGCAGAGGCAAGCTGGTGCTGAACACGGCTGGGGGGACCAGCAAGGCCCTCAGTGCCTCACATGGAGCAGCTCACAGCAGGTGCTCGGCAAACCCTGGCAGGTAGCATCTCCCAGCCTGGGGTAATTCTTGGTTCCCTGAGCCCTTCTGTGTTTGGGTGGGGGCAGAAAACCCCAGCACTCCTGGCTCTGGTTCACAGCCAGGAGCCCCACCTCCAGAAACCCCTCTGATCATCCTAAGAGTAGGGTGGGAAGAGCAACATTTCTAGGGAAAGGCATTTCAAAGACATTACCTCCTTGTCGATAGTTTTGTAGCCACACATGGTGTTCACAACTTCTGTCTGAAACAGAAATGTATAATAGCTAAGGTTTATAATGGCACTTACTCTAAAAGGCACTACGCCTCCACCCATTTTACAGATGAAAGAACTGAGACACAGAGAGTTGCGCTGTCTGGCATGGATGGAGCTGAGATTCCAACCCGGTGGTCTAGCTTTGGTCTACATCTTACCCGCCCCCTCCAAGAAAAGCCCCGTGAGGAAACGTGGGAGGGCTACTTGCTCGGCTGTGAAGCAGAACCACCTGCCACCAGCAGCAGACCAGGACCCCAGAGGGAATTGCGCTGCCAGGTTCCCCGGCGGTGGCCGCCCCAGAGCACCACTTGGCTGACACAGTTATGCGCCATCTCAGACATCGAGGCTCCGCGGGCTCTCGTGGAGGAAAACCTCAGACCACAGCTGGGACCCTGGTCAGCTGTGGTTTACCTGAAGCAAGGCGGGGCCCCTGGCCACACCTCCCTGCCCCCGCAGATCACTGCCCCGGCAGCAGAGGGAGCTGCCAAAAGTCCCTTCCTGGGAAGAGAGTTGCTCTCCGAGACTCCCAGCCACTGATTAATTCAGGGGCAGGAAAAGCTGTGGTCGGGCCTGAGACCCAGTCAAATCCTTCCCCAGGCTGCAAGTCACAGGCTGGCACGGCCACTTCTCATCACCGCCTGTGCCCTGAGGGGTCTCCTTCTCCACCTGTGAGGTGAGAGAGCGAGACCCCTGGTCCAGCTGTGACCCCCCACCAGCCCCACTGCTCCACATCCAAGTGACGTTGCTATGGGGGTGGGTGCACAGGAGCTAGTGATGACGCAGGGGACACCAGCCCAGTGCCCAGCCTGGCCCTGGGCACCACGTCTGCTGGGGCCCGACCCTGCTCTGCCACCAATGAGATCTGTGACCAGCCTAGGTGGGTCACGGGGATGGCGCATGGAGACACTCAATACATATTTGTTAATGAACAGATGGATGAATAAACAAAGAGGTCATGGTGATCAGCAAACCCACTTCCTGCGGCTGTTTTGGACATAAGATGAGATACACACAAAGTGCTTGTCCCAGGGCCGGGCACATGGAAAAGCACAGGAAGGCTGGCTGCAGTGACTTTGTTTACAATTCCAGCCCCTGGAAAGGCAAGGAAGGGTGTCTACTCTCCCTCCAAGAGAGAAGGTGGGGCCTCAGATGTCATCCAGGACATTCTAAATGTCAGGGCTTGGTGTGTGAGCAAAATAACCTCCCTCAGTCTGGACGGTCCCCTGGGTACCCTCAGAGCCAGCAACGCCCAGTGCCCGCTTGGCATCAGTCAGCAGCATTAGGAGGTAGCCCTAGACTACCTTCCAGACCATGAACACGACCCCAGGAGAGGGTTAGGCCTGGGGAGCAGGTGCACGAGCACATGATGGGAGTGGGTGCTCTCCACCTCATTCACGCATTCATTCATTGAACAAGTACTAACTGAGCTTCTATATTGTGCCAGGCACACAGGTCTAGTCGCTTGGAATACAGAATAACAAAACGAAGTCTCCGCTTTCATGGAACTTATTCTAGAGAAAGGGAGCAGACGGTGAACCTAACAAAGAAGTGAATGACATAGTACGGAAGGAGGTGACAAGAGTAACTTCACTGTGCCAGCCCAGGAGGCAGCATCCCCGGCCTGCCTCAGGGGCACCGAGTCTCCCAGCAGAATGCAACTGGCAGAGGCCTCCCTGACACCAGAGCCCAGATCCTTCTCCGGGCCCGAGGGGACCCGCCTCCCCAAGGGGTGGGAGGACACAATGCAGCCACGGTCTTTCCACAGGTGAAGCCCTCCTGGTCTGACCACAGCATCAACACTCTGCAGAAGACGCTGCTGAGCATCACTAGCCCTGGGCACCCGCCCCCCACAGCAGCTCGCAGGCCCGAAACCAGCCGTCAGTCGCCTCCTCCCTCTGGCCGAGGGCCGCAGGACAGGAAGTCGGAGAGGGGACTCCTGGGCAGTTGAGAAATCAGCACAGCAGAGTTCACAAGGTGATTTGTGTGTGTGCCTCCTCTCACCTAATGCACAGAACGGAGGAGTGAATCCAGACTAAGACATCCTCACGTGGAGCCAGCACGTCCCTTCCGGGTGGGACACTGTCCTGACGCGAAGCCTGGTCAACGTGGGGGTGTGAAGGCCTGGCCCTCTCACCCCGATACGGGACAACTGTGAAGGACCATGTCGTAGCTTTGACAGAGGTCCCCAGCCGACCCGCACTGAGATTGCACCATTGCTCAACTTCTCCCCTGCCCAACCCTGCGTCCAGCGCCTCCCTGCCACCGGTGCTGAGCCCAGAGCACCTCGCCAAGCCTCCTGCTCACCGGCCAGCAGCTCTGAGTCGGCTTCCTGGCCAGGCTGGCCTGTGACCCCCGCACTGCTGCACATTAGCCCCTAACCTGACTCCCTGTGTCCAGCTGTGTCCCCCACTGCAGTCAGGGTGATCCTGGTAAAACCCAAGTCAGATCCGCCGCACCACTGCAGCCCTGACGGCCCCGGCACTCAAGGGCACTCCACGGTCCTGCCCATGACCTTCAGGGCACCCACGACCTCCTTGGCTCCACCTCCTACCATCCTCCCCGTGTACACTCTGCTGTAGCCACACTGGTCTCTGTGCTGTTTCTCAAACACCCCAGGGCAACTCCCACCTCAGGGCCTTTGCACTTCCTGCTCTCTCTGCCAGGAACGTCCCTTCCCCGGACACCTGCAGCTTACTGCCCCACTTCCTCCAGAACCCACCTTCTCAGTATCCAAAATTGCAATCCTCCACATCCTACTTTACTTTTCTCCTTAGCGTTTATCACCTTCTAACGTACTATCTTTTACTTACTTCTTTGGTCAGTTTTCCCCACTATAGTGTCATCTCCATGTAGGCAGAGACTTCTCTGGGTGGTTGCCATACCCCCAGGACTGAGAAACATGTCTGGCACATAGTAGGTCCTCAAGCAAGATTTGTTCAATCAACGAATGAAATGAATGAATACAAGTTGGGCTTCCACGTCTGGAATGGGACATTCTGGTGCTGCTGCCCTGGGTGAGGAAGTTTGTGATCACCCCACATGGGCCCCTCCTAAAACCCCGGGCTCCTCCCCCACGCTCTCCCTGCCCAGGGGCTACCCTAAAACGGAGCCAACATTTCCAAACACAGCTCCCCTCCCAGCCCGGCCCTTTTTAGGCCAGTGCACTTGGCGCCGGCTCCCCGACTCATGCGCAAGGCCCCCGCCCGCAGCTGCTCGGTTTACAGAATCCGGCAGTAGGCACGGAATGGTGGAGATGTCAGAGGAGAAACTTTCCATGACTATTTGGGGCATGAGTAATCGCAAAGCTCTCCACCTCGTCCCAATCCAGAAACAGTTTCTGAGCACGTCAGTCAAACACAAGGACTGGCGGAGCCTCTCGCTTAGGCAGTGACTACACAGGACAGCATCCCCAGTGACTGAGGAGGAGACGGAGGCGAGAGGACTGTGCTGGGGAGAGGAGGAGGCATCTATGTCACCAGGCTTCTTTCCAAGCACCCAGTTGCCAATGATCACTAGGACCTCACGGCCAAAGTCCACTGGAGATGCCTAAAGTGCGGGCCCTGCTGAGCCACCTGGCCCAGAAGCCTCTCCCTCCCGCCCTCACCCGGCTTGCACAGTGCTCCCTCCCACCCTCGCCCGGCTTGCACAGTGCTACCGAGCACAGCCTGGGCAGCAGCTGCCTGCATTTCGTCCCAGCCCCAACAGCCTTGGGCAAGACACCTAACCTCCTGGTGCCTCAATTCCTCTTCCGTAAGGTGGGTAAAGTAACAGTACCTACCCCACAGGGTTGCATAAGGACTAAATGAGTTAATACAACCAAAGAACCTGGAACAGGCTTGCACAGGGTAAGTGCTCAATAGATGTTAACTAACACACAATAAAGACACGGCCTCCCCGCTCCCACCCCAGAATCTCCGCTTGCAGCAGCCCTTGAGGCTCAGGAAAGCCTCGGCTCTGACCACCACCCCTGCCTACCCCCATCCACCCCCACCCAGCCCCACCACCCTGCTCCAACTCAGGCAGGAAGAGGAGAGAGGAGTCTGACCAGCCGGGTGGCCCCCGTGCACCCCCACCCCCAGAGCAGGGGCTACCGTGTTCCTGATGCAGCAGGTGTAGGGCACCCCGCAGGCCAGGGGTCCAGGGGCGCTGCAGTCGTGGTACTGGTTTTTGCTCCAGTCGCGGTAGTCTTCCCCGCCACAGCACTTGAACTGAGAAGGAAGCAGGCAGGAAAGAGGAGCTGCCGCCATCACTGCAGCCCCAGGCAGGCAGCACGAGGGGACCCTGCCAGGAGATGGCTGCAATTTATGTGTGGGTCACCCTGGTGGGGAGAGAAGCTGTATGCTGTCAGGCCAGAGCTGTCCAAGAGTGGCACGGCGGCCTAGAAGGTAGTGAGCACCCGTCACTGGAGAGGCACAAAAGCCAGGGCTGGGCTGCCTCTTAGTGGGACATCAGAGTGGTGACTAGACTGGAAGGAAAAGTCCTTCCTTGACACCCAGACTCCACCTTCTTCATCTTCATGTCCCCAGTACAGGTGCAGGCTGGAGAAGATGGCCTTTAAGGTCCCAGAGACCACGATCCTGTGCAAGTCCCTGCCGCACAACTGACCTCCTCACCTGCCCCAGGAGCCGCTGCCTCCAGCTCAGCGGGTCTGGGCCCCTCACACCCTGTCTGGGCGCTCCCCTTAGCTGCGTCCCTCCCACAGCCCGACTGAGGGGCCGGTGTGTGCCTGGCATTGTCCTGGGCCCTGGAGAGACGCGGTGAGAAAAGCAGCGCTCCCCCAGTGGATGGAAGGTCGGGAGCTGGCGCTGTGCACCCCAGATACGGAGAAATAGGGAAGGCGGGGAGGGGAGGCTTTAGGTTGGGAGTCAGGAAAGGGCGCCCTGAGGAGCAGACACTGCGTCCGAAACGTGAACAACAGGGAACAGCCAGCCGCCACCTGCAAGGGCCCCAGGCAGAAACAACCTGTGTCTCGGCAGCGGAGCAGAGGCCAGCGCATCTGGGACATGGTGGGCGAGGGTGGAGGGACGCGGCGGAGGCGGCGGCAGGGCCCAGCTGAGCACAGCCCCGTCAGCCGTGAGCAGGGGCGGGGGGTGGCACTCCAGGAGCCACGGGAAGTCAGTGCAGGGTTCGACCAGGGGAGTGCTAGGGTAGGAGGTCATGGGCCATCAGGTTTGGGGACCTGGAAGTGCCTTTCTCTGGTGCAGTTAGAAGGGTATTTGCTTTGCGATCAAATAGACCCAATTTCAAATTCTCACACAACCACTCCCAGCTATGTGACCTCAGGCAAGTTGATCGGCCTCTCTGGGCCTTAGATCATTATAAAGCAGGAAGAGCAATGGCAGCTTTGTACAGCTGAACAGTGACTACACAGAGAGGCCGTGCTCTCAGCACAGGGCCTGGCACCGTGCACGTCACCTCCTACGCCGACGCTGGGAGAAACGAAATCCCCGAGCCAGCCCAGGGCGGGATCCAACAAAAACATCCCGCTCCACCCGGAGCAGGACTCGGCTCTCCCAGCCAGAGCTGGCAGGCACGTCCCTGGCAGAAAAAGCCCTGCCAGAGCCTGCACCTGTTGTGACTAGAGAGAGGGCCCGAGCCAAGGCAGCAGCCGCAGCGGGTGGCCCTGGGAGTGGGGAGAGGTTGGTCCCCACAGAGGGCTGGTGCAGGGGACCAGGCCAGCTAAAGCCCCCAAGGTCGTGTCGCAGGAAGTGCTGCCCCTGCCGAGTGGGCCCTCAGACTCTGCGTGTCACCCGAGAGATACAAAGATGATCACAGCTGACACTGGGGCCTATCCTATGCCTGGCACCGTTCCGACACTTCTCCTGAATTAAGTCAAGGTGACCCTCACGATGACGCCAAGAGGAAGAGACTATTCTTATCCCCCTCACGCAGATAAGGAGCCTGAGTCTCAAGACTCAATGAGACTGATGTAGAAAAGGATGGTGGTGGCCCTACAACTGCTATTGTCATTATTGCACCAACAGACTTGTCCGTGGTCCAAAAGGAACCATCATCACGTTCGAGGATACGCCATGGAGGAAAGGGAGGAGTCTTGTTCTGTGCCACCCCATGTGGGAGGAACAGGAGTCAGTGAAGAGCTTTCCCTCCATTGGGGCTGTCTTTGACTTGACAGGGAGTGAGCTCCCCATCACTGAAGGGACGTGGCAGAGGGGACTTTGGACTGGGGGTGGGGGTCACTCTCACTTCAAGGAAGGAGGAGCCTTGCCCACTGGAGGGGGGCACCCTGGGACCCTGCAACACCTTGTTGTGTTTTGAGGGGGCAGGGAGCCAATGTAACTGGAGAGGGACAGGCAGGGTGAGGACAACATTCTGGGCCAGCCGTGTGGGCGGAGGACTGCTTGAGAAGGTTGGCCCAGATTCCCCATCCTCCGTGAGCCATCCACAGCCCACCCTCGTCTCCCCTTGGCCAGCCACCTGCTTTGGGAACAGCTAAGTCACCTGACCCCTCACCCCCACCTTCTTGGGCAGGTGCCCAAATTGGGGGCAGAGGGCACGGGAGGCACATCTCTCACCCAGAGTGCCCGGCTCACCTTCTTCTGAACGAAGTCCATGATGTTTTTGAAGTCCAGGTCGTCATAGTAGTTCTCGATCCCTCTCCGAATGTTGTCGTTCAGAAAGTCGATGGTCTATCGAGAGAGAGAAATCGCAAAGGAAAGGAACACGCAGCCCCAGAGTCCAACCCAACATTTCCCAGAAGTCACGTGCCTGAGCCGCTCCCACCCGCCTGCCTGGCGCGCCCCCTCCCTGCCCCACCCTGGAGGCCCACGACCTCCCTGCCACACATTCTCCCTGTGCCTCCAGTGCCCTGCTGACACCAGAGCCCCTTTGCCATGTCCCAGCAGGGGCCACCCACTCCATTTCCTTCGCAGGTCACACAGCCCAGGCCCCAGGAGGCTGGGACCCTGCTGGGGCCACAGCTCTGAAGCAGCCACACCCGAGCTGGGACTCGACTGTCTTGGTTCCCTGTCTGTTGCTCTTTCTACTGCCCAGGGACAGGTCTGAGCTGGAATCTTCCCTTTGCCCTCCAGATTCCCTCTCTACGTTCTTCCACCATCTAACCACTCATTTTTCAGATGAGGAAACTGAGGCCGGGGTGCGGGCACCTTGCCCGGGTCATAGAGCAGGCTGGTTGGGGGCCTCGCCAGGACAGAATCCATGTCTCCTGACCTTCTGTGTGGGTCCTCTCTCTTACCACTGCAGAGCTGGGCCACAGACAGACGAAGCGGTCGCCCTCCCAGCTGGGGCCAGGACAATCCCCACCGGGAAAGCACTGGCAGGCCGCCCTCTGCCAGTCACGCTGGGCTTTCTGGATCAACAGCCCGGCTGTTGTGCTGAGATTCGGGAGCACAAAAGGCCCCACAGTGGGAAGAGGCGGGGGCGAGAGTGTGGGTGACAATTGGAGCTTTCAGAGCAGGAAGTCGAGTGTCAGCAGAGACTGGGGACAAAGGGGGAATTCTCGGCTCCGGTGGGGACAGAAGAGCCAGACAACGCCCAGGGGAGGCGTTGCGGGGCACGCTGGGACAACAGGGCCCTGGGTTCCAGGCCTCTCTGAACCAACCCTGCAGGCCTATCTTCAAGGCACCCTCCAGCTCTGAGATCAAACACTAAGCTGAGAGAGGCTGCCGAGCCTCATAGTCAAGAACAGTCTCTACAGCCACCCAGCCACCCAGGCCTCGGGTACTTCATTTAACTTGAGCCTCCACTTCCTCACCTGCAAAATCAGGAAGAAAATACTCTCTGCCTCACAGGGGTGCTGTGAGATTTAAATAAACTCAAGCTAATAAAGTATTTAACGGGATTCTGGGCACATAGCAGGTCCTGGCATAATTATACCCTATGGACTAGTTCATACCCATCATGTCACCAGTGGGAGATGGCAGTCCTGTGGGAGACTGAGACCCCAGCTCTTGTCCAGAAAGCCTACTGCAGTGGAAGCAGCCTGAGGCAAGAGTGCTGGGGCTGCCAGACCCTGGCCAGACCCGCCCCCTGCAGCCCAGAGAGCGATGTGACTCATCCAAGGCCGCCCGGCTGGCCATGGGCAGAGGGGCGCTGGGACCAAGTGTCAACCCCCCAGGCTGACACACTTTAAGGTGCCAAGATGACTCCAGTTTGGGGATCATCTCCCCAAATTACCTCTGGTATCAGAAAGAGAAACAAAGAATGCAACAGCTGCCCCCTCCCTGAGACTCACTCTGCTCAAAGTCAAGGTAAAGAAGGAGACTAGCGCAGGCAGACTGACCTCTGCAGCCGGAAGGAAAGCCCTCTGCTGCTAATAAACGTCAGCTCTGGGGACACGGGGACTGCAGGAGACTGGGCGTCCCCCCGAGAGAAGAGAGGAAACGCAGATGTCTGTGAGCAGCTCTCAACTCGCCAGCCCGTGGCCCTTGATGGGCCTGCTCTGGGCCCCAGGGCAGGAGCTGGGTGGCCATCTGCAAGCCATGCAGTCTGAGCAGAGCAGGGACCCACCTGGCCACAGGCCCACCCTCCCCATAGGCCTCCAGGTCACAAAGCCTTTCCAACCTTGGGCGCCTGTCCCTCTGGGTGATACAGGGAGGGACCAGCCAGCTGGGGTGTGGTTGGGGGTACCTAACAAACAGTACACAAGGGTAGGGCCAATCTGCCACCCAGGGTGGGGCAAAGGAATGAGCTCACAGCATTGATGGCACCCTTGGCTGAGCTAGCGGTGGGGAGCCACCAGGGTCAGGGGCTTGCCTAAGGCCATGCACATGGGGGCAGGAGGGGGTAAGCAAATACCAAAGGCCACAGGGTTTTCAGAGCTCATTGTTTAAATCACCAGATAAAGCTACGGAAAACTGTCCTTTCTAGGTTTTTCTTTTAAACCTAGTTTTAAAGCTCTCTGAAGCTACCACATCACTGCTCTCTGCAGAGGTGCTTAGAGTGTTTTTAAATGAACGAGGAATTGAAGGGGATGGGCATGGGAGGCCAGAGGAGCAGGAAAAGGCGTGGAGAGGCGGGCCCAGCTGCCCAGGGCCCCCACCGCTCTGGGACGTAGCTGTCCTGCAGTCCCGCAGGCCGCCTCTGGCTTCCAGCATCCCCACATCAGCTCCTCAACCCCAAGGCTAGGAGGCCCTGCTGCTGGCGGCCCAGCTGCACCCAGCGCCAACCCAGTTCTCACAACTTGGAGGAGGGCTGCTTGGCCTAGGGCTTCCTTCCTTCCTTTGTGCCTGGGCCTCTAGGGGCTCTCCCAGTCCCTCTAGAAGACAGGGACTCATCCTCATTGCCCCAAGACTCTAGCCTCTGCTCCAGCCCTGGCAGGAGCCCAATCTGGAAACCAAGAACCAAAGAGAACCCAGGGAGCTGAGAGCGAAGAGAAGGCAAAGCAGCATTTAGAGAATCTGCCAGACCCTTCTCGGACCCGGCCAGGAGTCGCAGGCTGGCTGGGGGAGTCATGCCTCAGTGTCCCTGGGATTTGGGGCTCCAGTCCTTACTCCCCAGTGGCTGCCCACAGTGGGGCACACCAGCTGTGGGAGACCAGTGGCCAGACCAGTGAAGAACTTTCTCCACTTCTGGACCACTGACAGCTTAGCTCTGGGTGAGAAGGGAGGCTATATAGCTGGCCCTTCCTATCTGTGGGTTCTGCAACCACATATCCAACCAACCTCGGATTAAAAATATTCAGGAAAAAAAATAACAGTACAACAATAAAAAGTAATACAAATTAAAGAACAATACAGTATAACAGCTGTTCACATAGCATTTAATTGCATTAGGTATTATAAGTAATCTAGAGATGATTTAAAGTATATGGGAGGACGTGCAGAGGTTATATGCAAATACTGCACCATTTTACAGCTGAGAGTCCTGCTGCTGAGGGCCTTTTCTGGGCTGTACACCAAGCCACCAAGCCCCTCCTCCAGAGGGGACACCACCCCAGGGGTGGGAGCACATTTCACAGGCCATGGCACCCTCAGGGTTTGGGGACAACTGGACACTTTCACCCCAAGCTGGGAGGCCAGAAGGGCCCCTGGAGGTTTCAAAGGCTGGCAGCTTCATCTAGCTCAGCTCTCTCACTTGAGAGGGGAGGGATGTCGTCCTGGCCCTGCTGACCTACAGGGCACTAGGAAATGACAAATCAGACTGCCTTTGTGGCAGTGCACAGGAAACCAGAGCTGCTGCCCACTTAAGGAAATGCTGTTTGTTAAGGCCTTGGATGCCGCTGCCCACGAGCTGGACCTGGGCTCCAGCCAGGAAAGCACCAACCCGCAGCCCTGGAAAGCTGTAGGCCGGCGGGAGCCGCGCTGCTGCTCGGAGAAGCATCCCCACTGCAAATGGAATAAACACCTCTCTCCCCTCAAGGCTGCCAAAAAATGAACCAGGATCCTGGACCTGCCAGCTCAGAGGAGGGGTCTGGCCCACAGAAAAAAGGGAGGAGCAGGAGAGAAGGCTGGACTGGGAAGCAGCCCTGAGCTGCCTCTCCCTCCCTGTGTGCTCTCGGGAGGGTCCTTAACCTCGGTGTGCCTCGATGACACCACCGATGTGATGGGAAGCTCTCCCCACCCCCCAACCCCCGGGGCTCACGAGACAGGAAGACAACACCTGGAGTCCAGGACTTGCCTGTGGTGAGGTCCCACCGCAGGCCACCTGGGCTGGGATCCCAGCCACAGCCACGAAGAGTTTCCCAGGGGTCAGATGCTGGGTGGGCTGCTTGAGAGATGTGCACAGTGTGGGACAGCAATGGCTGCCCTGGCCTCAACTTCCGGCAAGAAAGATAATTTGACCACAGCTCTGAGGCACGGTCCCAACAGTGACTGCCCAGGAGCACCAAGCTGTCTGGGCCCCGCAGGGGTAAGGCCGGGAACGGACGGGGCTCTGTGAAGGGACAGGGCTCTGCAAACAGGCACTGCTCCTCAAGCCCCGCCCACAACAGCGAAGATTGGTGAAGACAAAGGAAGAAGATTGAGGGAAGAAAGACCTTCCGGGCTGGAATTCAGCCTGCTCCGCCACTAGCTTCTCGTGGGACCTCGAGCAAGAGGAGCCAATGAGGGCCCGCTATGTGCCAGAACCAGGCCAGCCCCTTCACACGCGTTCTCTCCTCAGATCCTCACCCCAAACTCCATGATCCCCTAAGGATCCGAGAGGCCAAGTCACTCGCCCAGAGTCACACAGCCAGTATGAGGCACACACAGCCTGCCATGAAGGAGCTGGAGACCAGGAGCCACGAGAACCTTTTCAGCAAACCCTGCCAGGGCCAGGACGACTGGCGTCACCCTCTCCACCTGCCTCTCTCCCTCGCTCCTAAATGCACCACGACAGGGTCCTATCGGCACTGCCTCCGAAACAGACACCAAATCCTGCCCTTTTGGCCCAAGCCCAGTGCCTCCACTGGGTCCAAGCCATTGTCCCCTCTTCCCGGCATGACCACCGCAGCCTCCAGCTGGTCCCCCGCATCTGCCCTCCCTACAGCAGCCAGGGTGAACTGTAAACCAGACCATATCCCTCCCCCGCATAAAACTCTCCAAAGACTGCTACCACCTCTAGAAAAATCACAAGCTTTTAAACTGTGGCTATGAGGACATATGGGACTTGTCCCAGCGGCCCTTCAACGTCACCTTCCGCCCTCCTCCTCACCGCCCACCCCCCAGCCACGCTTCTGCACACCTGGCCAGCTCCTTCCACTATTTCACCACCGTCCTCCCACCTGCACCCCGGGCACGAGCACGTGACCCTGGCTCACACTCCTGTTTGCTGCTGTGCTTGTTCGATGCCCATCTCCCCAGCAGCACAGAAGCTCCGTGGGGCTCTCTGCTCACTGCCACGCCCCCAGTTCACAGCCCAAGGCTCACACCGTGGGTGCTCAGGGCACACATTGCTGATAAACAAACTCACAGACCCACCTGGTTCCGGAAGATCAAGGCCACCACGCCACCAATGAGCTCCATTATGAGGCAGATCCCGAGGATGTACATAAACTGGAAAACAAAAGTCAGAGATTTCCCCTGGAGCGGGGCAGAGGAGGTGTGTGGGGTGTGGGGGAAGCGTCATCTGCTCCAAGGTCAAGCACAGTGAGGAGAGCCATCTCGGTGGGGGCTCTTGCCAGCGCCGTGAGAACATAGGACATGGATGGTCATACGCGGGGAAAGCCCGTCTCTGCAGCCAGAGAGCAGGAAGGGTGACTCAGCTGCCCCACCCAGACTGTTACTGACATCTGTCCCAGGGTCCTCAGCAGGGTCTAGGTGGAAAAGCACGCCCCTCCCCCCACCACGAGGAGAGCTGGGTGTCACTCCAGCTGAGCCAGAGGGGACGGGCCTGGCTTGATGGGTGGGGCTGGGCAGTGCTTCCAGATGCCCCCAGAGAGCCCTCAGAGGCAGCTCCCCAGGCCCCTAGAGCGGGTGAAGCGGACCCTGAAGCTTAGAGGATACACACTGCACCTCTCCCCTTTACTGGAAAACAGGCATTGTCCAAACTGATTCCAGCAACTTCCAGCCTCAGGCAGCACCAAGACCCCTATGAGCTTATAGGGGCTCATAGGAGCTTCCCATATGAGGGGAGAAAAGGAGGCCAAGATACGCACATCAGTGCAGGGTAAATGGATCTGCCTACCTGCTGCCCACAGCTCTGGGGAGTCATCCCTCCCCACATAAAGGGATGCAGGTAGGGTTGACTCCACCCCAACCCAAGCCAGGCCCCCCGGAGTCCTGGGACTGTGGCCAGAGTTGGCAGGAAAGACACCCTGGGATCCAGAGCTAAAAGGACTCTGTCGGCCTAAGGCTGGCAGTAATCACTGCGAAGGGAGCGGTCCCAGCTGGGAGGTAGCAAAAGAGACTGCCCAACCCTGCCCAGTGGTGCCGCCTAAACCCCTGGACCCATGGGAGCTTGCTGGTTACATGAGCCCGTGACTCACAACCACCTCCTCTGCCTGCCTTTGCTTGCTCTCATTTCAGTGTGGTTTCTCCTACTTGAAACTGAGGGTCCAGAGGAACACAGACTCTAAGTAAGAACAGGATTCAAATCGGCTCATACATGCAGAAGTGGAGCTGGCCTGGGCTCTCTCGGGCCCACAGGGTCAGATCTAAGGAACCCTCTGGAGCAGCTGGTTTGAGGCAAGGACTAAAGGAACTGAGCGGCCCAGGGCCCGGAGGCAGTCTCCCCAGGTTTCCTGGGGTCCCAGGGACCCGCCCCCACCTCCCGGCTGAGGCGCGAGCAGGCCCACTCACCACCTGGAGAAGGCACAGGTTGTCCCGCAGGGAAGCCAGCACGCCAATGAAGGACACGATGAACATGACGACCCCCAGGAGGATAAGGATGATGGCCGGGGCCAGAAAGGCACTTTCGAGGGTTTTGTATTTCTGCCTTTCCACCTCTGCATAGATCCCCACGGACAGCACCAGGGCCCCAATCAGCTGCAGCAAGAAAGCAGGGCGTGAGCGAGAAGGACTGTAGGCACTTGGTTTTCCTGTGAAGAGTTCATCTGGGGGCTGTGGCACCTGCTGGGGGTGGGGGTCGCTCACCCTGTTATGGGCTGAATCGTGTTCCCCCAAAATCCCTTTGTTGGAGTCCTAATCCTTAGCACCTCAGCATCTGACTATATTTGGAGACAGGGCCCTTAGAGAAGCAATTAAGTTAAAATGAGGTCATTATGGCAGGTGGCCCTAATCCAATATGACTAGTGTCCTTATAAGAAGAAGAGATTAGGACACAGACACGCACAGAGGGAAGGCTGGGTGGACACACAGGGAGAAGGCAGCCACCTACAAGCCAGAGAGGCCTCGGGAGAAACTAACCCTGCCAAAACCTTGACCTTGGACTTCTAACCTCCAGAACTATGTGGAAATAAATGTCTGCTGTTCAGGCCACTGAGTCTGTGGTACTCAATGCTACGGCAGCCCAGCAGGCTCACACAGATGCTGTTCAGAGGTGCCACTCTAGAGGAGAGTGCTGGTGGGTTAGGGGAAATGCCATGGGCTGGAGGGTCAGAGAACATGGTTCGAGTACCAGTTCTGCCCGTTACTAACCCTGGGCCTTGGACAGGCATCTGACCACACGAGTCTGTGTTCTACCTGCAAAGTGGGTACGAAGGCATTCGCTTCTGCCCTGCTCACACCATGGCTTTAGCGAGACAGTAAAGGTGGAAACGCTACAAACCCAGAAGCACGGGGCCGCTGTGATGGGTGTTACACAGGCAGGTCACACAGAGGAACTCTGGCGCTGTCAGGGGGACAGATGTTTCACAGAGCACCACACACAAGGAACTTACTTTCAGGACAAGCACGGGGAAGACCAAAGGTTAGAGCAGAAGGAATTTTGAGGGGAATTTTAAGCAGACTCCCTCTTTATCCACTTTTCTAACAGTGGAAACACTATAAACACTGTGTCACAGGACACACTGTAACCTCCCAGCAGTAACTTCCAGGCTAGTGGACCTTCCCAGGCTCCTTACACTAGTCCAACCACCCGGGGTTGCTCACCCCAGGGCCTTTGCACAGGTGGTCCCCACTGCCTGAAATGCTCTTCCTCCTGCCATCCACATGGCTCGCTCACCCGCCTCCTTCCCATCTTTGCTCAATAGTCACCTGCTCAGTGAGGCCTTTCAGGGCCACCTTCTGTACAAATGGGAAGCCCTTCCCTCTGAAAATCCTGATCCCCTTTCCTTGTTTTATTTTTCCTCTTGGCACTTACCAGTGTTTAACATACTACATTATTTCTTTTATTTTTAATTGTTTGTCTTCGCCACCAGAACATAAGCTCCATGCCAGGAGGGACTTTCTGACTGTTTCGGGCACCCCCAGCACCCGGGCAGTTCCGACTCTGCGGAAGTACGATTGATGTCTGCTGAGCGCATGAGGGCTGGGCTGTCCAACAGACCCCTTGGATCCGAGTCAGACACTGTCTGCCCAGTCTCCTGCCTGCCCAAGGATTCCAACTTCCAGGCCACAGGCTCAGAGGGAAGGGACAAGTCGGCAGGTAACTGGACTTCTCCACTGAGCTGAAGGCGGCAGGGGAGAGTGGCCGCGGTGCTGTCATCTAAGGTCCGAGGAAAGGGAGTGAGGGGTAATACAGACAAGGTGTGTATCAGGAGCACAGCCGCCCCAGTGTCGCCATCCAGGACGAGGAGGCCACCCCTCCAGCTACTTACTGGTCCACTCCAGCCTTAAATCAACTTAACACTCCTCACTGATCACCACGTCCTCACAATCGGCCCCCTTGGCCTCTTTCTAAAAAGTGGTACGACTGAGTCCTCGGTCCTGAGTAAGGGAAGTGGCTGCTTCCTCCTAAGCTTGGACTAGTGGCGGGGACGCCAAAAGTCAAAAAATAGACTGAGCTTACGCCCAAACACTGCATAACAGAGGATTACCAGGAAACCATCTTTCTTGGATCCAGCACTCTGCTGTACTTCAAGGCTAAGTGCCATTCCCCTTGGTTTGAAAAGATCACCTGGGGTTACTGAGACCCATCCCCCCAGTCTAGAAGGCATGTCTATGCCTCTCCAATGCACATGGGCCAGCAGGGGCTGAAGACACTGACAGACTCGGCCATCTGCCACTCATTAACACGTTGGCCATGTAAGGCAGGACACACACACACACATACGCCCCCTTTCTACCAGAGAACGGCAACCAGGGGAAATAAAATCTACCTTTGATAGAGAAAGATTACCCAGAGGCTGTCTGGTCAGCCATGCTCCAAAAGCCAGAACATGGTGAAACCATTGTTCCAGGCCAGCCTCAGCCCCATGTTACTCCTCTGAGAATAACAGTAAGCAGCCTCTAAAAAGCCAAATCCCTCCCTCTGGATTACTCCACCTATAAGAAATCGCTCTGAACTAAACCCTAACCCTAAACAAGACAAAGAACCCAGAGACTCACCCACCTTGAAGCTGAGAATGTGGTTAAGCAAGAACCCCACCGAACACTGAAGTCTTCAAGCCCAAGCGCAGAATGAATAAAGTATTCAAGGACTCATCATGCTCCAGGGTGGCAGAGGGAGGGTTTTATCTTTTATCTTGATGAAAAGTGTGACTGTCCCCAGTCACTGAACCAACACAATTATTACATCTTAACATTTTCAGAATCGGCCCCATATACTCTGGAGAGTTCTATGTTTCTTGTTGTAAAAAATAAAAAGTCATTCTCTGGCATGATGGGGACATGCGCCCTGACTCCTTCACTCCTCATCCCTCCCGCTGGTCCCCATCCCTCCTTCCTGCCTGAGGCTGTGCTTCTAGGTTAAGGTACTCTGCTTTGCAAACTATCCCCAAAACACCAGAGCTGTCACTGGCCCCGATTCGGAGTAGAACCGACCCCAGCCCTCTCCAGAAAGGCAGTCGGTGCCACCTTCTATTTTTACAAGATCCCCAGAGCAGCGGGACCCACTCCAGAACAGCCTTGCCAGCAGAAAACAAAACTCCCCTTGCTCTGATCTCACTCCCTCCTGCAATAGAGCACTGCCATTTCCAGACCACAAACGCCATGGGAAAAGCTCCTGCGGCAAATGCAAACTGAGGCCTCCCAACTCCCCCACCACCGTGGGCCGAGCCATCCCAGGCCCTGTTTCCCAGTTTCTCCCCGTCCTGCGGAGGGAGCTGCTCCCAGCAGCCTGGCAGGCCACCCCCAGGCTGCTCTCCACACAGCACAGGCCCTTCTGGGCCCCTCACTCAGTGTCCGGAGGGGCACTGGGCATGGGGAGAGGCTGGCATAAGCCTTCCCAGGAACTTCAAAATTTCCAAATGATATTTACATCTCCGATGACATCAATTTATCCATCTGGGTATGAAATCATCTGTCAATGCCAACGTGCAATCCCGTCTCCTCCTCTCTGTTAATTATAGTCCTTCACCAGGCAGCTGGCCACTCAGCTCTAGCGCAGGAAGCAAATGGCCCATCTGTCAACCAGGACAGTTTCAGCTAAACAGGCTGGGAGGTGGGGAGGACACGGCCATGCCCATCTGGGGCCAAAGAGGGAAAGAACATGTCGCCGGCAGCCCACGGGCCAGGCCCAAAAACCCAGGCTTTGAGAACCACGCAGTGCCTTCAACAGGCTGTGGAGGAGCCCTGTCGCCCAGCATGGCCAGGGCCTGAAGGTCCCCTCTGAGCCCTGTTTCCTCCCTGCAGGGAGAGGCCCAGCTCCACACAGGTGACAGGAAGCAGGAGGCCCTGTGAGGCGTTCCAGCACCTGTGTCTCCTTCAGGAAGCACCTGGCCACGGGTACCAGCTGAGCAAGTCTGCACTTAAAGGGGAACTGCAAGGCCCATTTTCGCCTCGAAAGGCAGAAACCAAAGCTCTTCCTGTGTTCCAGGGCCTGCGTTAGGCTCCACAGGAACACAAGGGGCCAGAAGACCAGACACAGGGCAAGACTGGGAGAAGGGAGAGGAAGAAAGGCCAGAAATGTCAGTCCCGTGGATGGAATTTAGAGTCTTCAAACTGCAGACAGCAGAGAGGGGGAATCGCACCTTGACTTTAGCATCCAACTGAAATGTTACTTCCATTTTGGTTGAATGTGGGCAACAAATCACAGTAGTGTAACAGCACCTGTGACTCTGTCACCAATGGAGATCACATTACAGTTATTTAAAATATCTTAAATATCATTTATATTCCTCATTACTTCAAAATGACAGTAGTACTAGGCTCGCTGCTGGGTCCTGTAATTTAACGCATCGATAAGGAAAGCAAGTGATAATTATATCACAAATTTCGTTTTATGAAATTTTAACAGCTATATTACAATATAATTGGTTTCTTTTGTAACCCTGGGTATTTCATTGTATGCATTTAAATATCTGGTTCTGAGGAGGGGTCCACAGGCTTCCCCAGAGGGCCAAAGGGGTCCCCAACACACAAAAAAGTGCAGAACCCCGAGTCTATGGGAAGAAAGCTATAAATCCTCCCACGGAGAGGTAGAGAGAATTCCAGGAGCTCCAGCCAAGGTGACGGGGAGGAGGGAGACGTCAGAACATCAGGATGGCCCCCAGAGGAACCCGTTGTTTCCGAGAAGGCCCCAAGAACCGCTTCATTCTGCACCCATCCCATGGGGCCCTCGAGGGCCCAGGGCTCTGTGTTGGGTCAAAACAGAGCACTTTTTAGAGTTTCTAGATTGAAAGGAGGTGGGGAATAGCTTGAATAAAGTGGGGCTGGCAGGGACCCAGAGACACTCTGGACATCCTGTCGCTCAGCCCTCTGCACCCCCCTGGCCCTGGGCCCATCCCACCCTGCGGACAGCCACCTGCTTGCACGCTGCTTCCCCACTTCCCTCCCATACAGCTCAGCGTGCCGGCAGGAGCAGCACAGGCAAGACAAGAGGCAGGAGGTGGCGTTCTGGACCCCCATGTGTTAGCTCACTACCCTTGGCCAACTCACTTCCCGCTTTGGGCCTTATTGTTCACCTGTAGAATAGTAAAGCCTGC